CTTTCTCCCAATCTCCACCTCTCTCTCTCTCTTTTTCACCCTTTCTCACTCTCTCTCACTCTCTTTCTCTCACATCTCTTTCTCTCACCTCTCTCTCTCACTCTCTCTCTCTTTATCTATTTATCTATCTCCCAATCTCCCCTTCTCTCTCACTCTCTCTCTCTCTCTCTTTATCTATTTATCTATCTTCCAATCTCACCCCTATCTCTCTCTCTCTTTCTCACCCTCTCTGTCTTTATCTATTTATCTTTCTCCCAATCTCCACCTCTCTCTCTCTCTCTCTTTTTCACCCTTTCTCACTCTCTCTCACTCTCTTTCTCTCACCTCTCTCTCACTCTCTCTCTTTATCTATTTATCTATCTCCCAATCTCCCCCCTCTCTCACTCTCTCTCTTTATCTATTTATCTATCTCCCAATCTCCCCCCCTCTCTCTCTCTCTCTCTTTATCTATTTATCTATCTCCCAATCTCCCTCTCCCTCTCTCTCTCTCTCTTTATCTAATTATCTATCTCCCAATCTCCTCGCTCTCTCTCTCTCTCTTTACCTATTTATCTATCTACCAATCTCCTCTCTCTCTCTCTCTCTCTCTCTCTCTCTCTTTATCTATCTGCCAATCTCCCCTCTCTCTTTCTCTCTCTCTCTCTCTCTCTCTCTTTCTCTCTTTCTTTCTCTCCTTCTCCTTCATACAGGGCTTTACGTACAATAAGTAGGGTGTCTTGAACTATTATATAACATATGTGATTCAACTAAATATTTAAATAACAACAATACGGTCCATTAACGAAAACGTTCAAATAGTTAACTTATCTATCTGTCACAGACGTATTTAAGTAAATTGTATTTCCATAGAATTGTTTTCGATCCGTCGAGACAATTGGTGATGTGGTGAACGAAGAAACTTCCACAAGTCTAAGGAAAACTATTGGTTCCGAAGAAACGGTCAAATAGGAAGGCCTTGATTATAACACAATATACTCTTGATCAAGGTCTAGTGTGAATAGCGGCCTCTCCTCGTCTAATAGAATCAAATAAAACCAAGATGGGTTCCATGCAGTCTTATAGCCCCTCCCCCCCGTCATCGCGCTAACAACACCCAGTAAAAACTTTAGGACGGGATTAATAAATCTCCAGGCCTTGCCTTGGTGAATTAATACTGGAAAGGACTTACTTAAGTTTTCAAGAGGCAACGGCTCAACGAAGTTAATCTCTTAACACGCATATTACATCAACTTATTATATTGATTAAGAACGTACCGAGCAATTTTGATTGTCTACATCAATTACAGTATTACTACTAATCCTTTCCAACGGGTGTAAATGTGTTGAAAATGTAAAAACGTCAGTCGAAACGTGATGATATCATGATTCAATTCCCCGTTGCCCGTCGCTTTATTAGGCACGTAATATGGTAATCACAGGCGATTTAACAATTCAAATCCTCTTTTTTGGAATGTTGTAAAATTAATTTCAATCTTTTTTGGATTAAAGAAACGCGGGATTTTAAAAAAATGGTTAAAAAGAAACATTTTTTCAAGATAAAAATATTTTTCAAAGACGTAAAATTCATCGCGGGTTCAAAATAAAATTATTATAGCTTTTTGCTAGTCACAGCATTTAATGGATTATAACACATTTAACAACACTAACTCCACTCATTTAAAATCGGCCAGAAAATAAGAACTTTTAATTTACAAAAAGTTTTTAAAAAAATGGTTTAAGCTATGTTACTGAAATTTGGCACAAAGTCTAGTGTTGATTTTTAACAGTATAATAAACCCATTATATTTGGTGGTCTATTGACCACATTACTTCTTTCACTTAATTAATTTTTTTATGTAAGGTTTTGGTTGAAATGAAAAAGTCAGCCAAGAGCGGGATTCGAACCCAGACAAGTGGTAGAGCAGCGGCTATAAGAATATGAAGTCATTGGTTCGAATCCCGCTCGTGGCACTGACTTTTTCATTTCAACCAAAACCTTTATATATGAAATACAGAGTGTCTTTTGTGAAAATGATTTTATCATACGCCAGTTTTCTTCTAAATAAAGCGGTAAATTTTCCAGTCTTGCAGAAGGTAGTTGCATAGGATATGCTCTGTTTCTGTCTACTCTAGACATAGTACCCCAGTATTTGTAATGTCTTGTTTTTACAAATAGTCTTTATGATCGCCCCATGCATGGCTTATTTGCCCGGTATTTGTAATATTCTTTAGTATCCCTGTTATTTTTTAATACCACAAATAATATAATTTATACCACAAAATGGATTTGGGCCTATGTGTTGTTCCGGAGCTGCTTTTTTTTTTAGCTAGGATGTCTGCTACCTCGTTGCCTAAATTTCCCTCACGATTTGGGACCACCTTAGCGTCAGAGTTTGTTTTATATTTTCCTGATTGAAAATTCAGAAACCATTCCACTGTGGCGAAATTCTTTGTATCTCTTGTGATCTAATGCCAGACGATAATGATAATTTTTATACAATACAATAAATATACTCTTGATACTAAGTTTAATCTAGTTGACGTTTAAATTTAAAAAAAAAATATATATATATATATCTGTATCTTAATCTAAACCTTTTGGATTCATAGGGATTGTCCCTTTTGTGCGTAAACTTTCCTCTATTGTGTGTAAACTCTGATAATGATTTTGCTAGATGATTTTTTTGTTATTTAAAAAAGTACAGAATTATATCTTTTTATAAAGATTGAACCACATGCTCACTCCACCAATTATCATTTCTAGTACAGAATTCTTGCCAGAGGTATGGTATCGAGGTCTAAATTGCTCAAGAAAGGCGTTCCTAGGTACCATAGCATTTGCCTAGCTATTTCAAGGCAATTGTGTTGTCTGTATCTAAATTGATCTTTCAAATCTAAGGATTTATTCGCAAAAGTTCACATCTACATAAGCATAAGCAGCAAGGTGAAAGCATCGAAAACCTGGGTAAACATAATAACCTGACAATACCTTTGGAGCCAGGGCACAGAGCAGTTCTGGCAACACAACGAACAAAACAAAAACGAAAGTAGGAATGTCATAAAGCAGGATTTTCTTGCTCTTAAACAGAAATCCATCGTGTTCAACTTTATCAAAAATCTCTGGTATGCCCAGAAATCATTCTTTAAACCAAACACAGATGACCTTACGATTTGGTAATACGCACGGATATTCTAGCGTTGGATTCTTAAGAGGTTTAAAGTGTGTGTGTGTGTGTGTGTGTGTGTGTGTGTGTGTGTGTGTGTGTGTGTGTGTGTGTGTGTGTGTGAATTTTTCCGGGATAAGACGATATAATATTGGAAGGTTAATAAATTTATTTTGGTTCATACAGGAAATTTATGGTCAATAATTTCCAAAGTACAATATTTAGTGTATTTGATAATCATTTATTTTTAATTGAACATTAGAATCGCAATTCTCCACCTACATAAATAAACGTTCCATATAATTGATGTCAGTAGGCCAAAAGTCTGGAAAAATAACATAAATTTTCACTACTAATTTTATAAAATTTAATAATTGAAGGTCTAGAAAAAAACTAACAACTAATAAAATTTACATTAAAAATTACACTTTTTTTCATGATTATTTGTTTAATCATAATGATATGGTGATTTCTCGAAATTAATTCTAAATCTTAATTCTTATCTTAAACTCTTATCGAGTCAATATTCTTCAGACTTGAATATTTCAAAATTAGCTAGACAGAAGCATTTTCCTTATCAAAAATATATCAATTATGTATATAGCGTAGTTTTCTTCATTTTGGATTTTAGGCAACATATTTTATGTAAATTAAAATGGCAGCTGCCTGTTGAAAATGACGGACAGAGTCCCAAAACGCTTTACTGTCTTTTGTAGATAAAGAATTTCCATAAAATATGTTGCATAAAATATAAAAAATAAAACAACCCTATATGTACTTATTTAAAAAATATAAAGAAGCTTTTCTTTATATTTAATGCTTGCAAATGTTGGCCTTGTTATTCCTGGACGATTAACATAGAATATTAAGAAAAAATCTTCGAAGGAGGACGTAACCGACTGTAGGGCGTTAAAGAAAGAAACTCATTTTCTACATTTCTGAATGTATTTCCCGTTAAACAAAGGGCCAAGTTAAAACTTATACAAAAAAGTTCGACGCTGACTGAACTACAAGGACTTTTTTACCCATCGTGTCAGTGTTATCCATGTGAAAAATACGCAAAATTCTTCAAACAATATTCTAAGAGCGGTCCGGAGTCGGGATTATCCGATTAGCGCACTTCGAATTTAAACTATTGGCCGACAAATTTCATGAACTAAACTTTCCAGTAATGAAGCTAATTCCCCCCCGAAATCCAGCGTATATTCGAAAGTGGACATAAGGAGGATTAAACTAAAAGGGTTCACTGAATAATAACCCAGGAACTGATTAATTAAATCAAACTTTAATCTACAAGAAGCCCAAAACAAATCTGATATCACTGTAGTTTTAGACTAAAAGCTATTCTGGATTTGAGAAATTATAGTATCTGCGTTTAACTGTGTTTTCTATAATCGTTTATCTTTAATCAAGTTAATTATAAATTTGTAATTTTAGATTCCAATCTTCTAAATGGAGTATTTTAACTTGAGAAAGTAATTGATTGAAATTTCTCATGTCTGGCTTGTGCAAATTTACTTGGATTTAATATTTTGTGTACATTTCAGCTGGTCGACGATGACGGTTCTATTGAAACTGCAGTCATGAACTACTTGTTCGCCAAACAGATCGTCAACAGGTTGAGGTCCCAGGGGGACATTTCAGACCTCCAGAGAAAAAGGAGCTACTGGAAACAGTGCGCATTCAACGCCGTTTCATGTTTTGGCAAGTAAACCCCGTCGATCCTTTCTTTCCACAAATCAAGGCTCGGATTCGTTCTAAATAAACTTAACTTAAGTAATCCCCCTATTAGCCAGTTAAGATTTCAACTTTAAAAATACTTGTATTTCATGTTTATGTAACTAATTGTCGACTTACCTCGATACGAGCCTTTTTTCCCTTATACTTTTCAATATTTCTTCTAAAGTAATACACTCCGGTGGATCGCCATCGACCTGCATTGTAAGACAAGCATGATTTGTTTAAAAAATAAAATTTATTTTACTCGAAGCACAGTGTGTAGTTGTTATTTTTAAAAATCGTTTATGTACATCTTTACCTCGTCCTTCTCCTTATTCAAATGAAAACTCGTTATTTTAAGGAAGAGGATGTGAGCATTCGACCCCAATGGAATATTATAAAAAAAAAAGCCGAATGGACACATTCGATCCTTAAAAGCTTTGCTTATTAACGGTTGGTATTTTCTTTTAAACAATTTTTATGCAATCGTACCAGCAATGGGCTTCCTCTGAAACGTCAATATGTAGATTTATGCTTGTTTTTTGTTTAGTATTTGTATACATTTAGTTGTAGCTTGAAAGTAGAGGTGGTAGCAATTAAACATTAAATCCCTTTCAATCTTAAAATAATTAAATTGAAATCAACAATGAAAAAATAAAGAAGATGTACAACAGAATTCTGAAAATCCAAGGCTGCTAGATTTGTAACATAAATAACAAATTAATTCAGTTGACGGACATTAATTTTTCTTCTACGCTAATTACTATTTATTACCCAAAAAGATGAAATTAAAACATGGAATATTTTTAAAATTTGTATTTTGGGCTATTTCTTATCTTTCTGTTCGGACTATCCTCTCTGTTTGGTCTGTAAATGAAGACCAAAACGATCGGGAAACATCCAAACTATACTTTCTTTAAAACATGAAGAAAAAATTACACTATGTTTTATAATTGGCTTGATTTTAAAAAAGGACATCATTGGGTTAAGTTTCAAATGACTATTCGAAGGGAGGACTTGCAAAAAAAAAACAATAAAATCAATATTATTAAGTGCAACCATCACTGAAACGTAACATGATAAAATAGGATCAAATTTCACCTAAAATAAATGACAGTTATCTGCACCATCTTAGATTTTCCTCAGATGTGTTAACATGAATGCCAACTCGTATTCGTGCAAGAAAATATTGAACGTCATTACTCGGATGTTGTGTGTTGAAATTGCCTGTATTTTCACCGTTTGAAATATTTCTATTCTTCTTTAGGTCAAAAACGACAAGGCGTCCGAGGAAGAACTCTCGTATCCAGACAAAGGAACGGACGATGGGACTTCTTAGTTAGCCTTTTCTCTTTTAAAAAGTAAAGAATCTCGTATGAAATTTATTTTCACGTACAACGAAAACACAAAGGCGCATTTCCTCTAAAGTAATACACAATGTCTTTTCTTCTCTCTGTTAACTGTCCGATTTGTAAAAATGTTTTTATTTTGGAAATAAAACACAACCAAAAAAGACGTTTCAGAATTGATGTTTCCTTTGAATCACCTCATATTTAAAAAAAATCTGTAAAACAATAAAATAATCATTCAATTGAAACAATTGGACGTAGAAAAGGAAGCTCATTATTTCGGGTTTAGAACGTATTTAGCCATATTTAGAAAAACTCTTAATATTACTAATTATTCTACCCAAATGAAATAGCATAAAATTGTAAAAAAATAAATAAATATGGGCCACATATTGATTTTATTAGTGTTAAGTGACACACTTTTGAGGAAGTCAAGATTTTTCAAAAGAGCTTCTCATAATAACCAATATTGAAGTTGAGATTTTTTTTTATCAAATTAATCACAAATTTTTGAAATATGTTTAAAACAACCAATAAGACTTCATTTTATTGCTGTACAACAAGCATTGAATCTAATAGAGATGAACTGTTTAAAGCCTGAATAGATAAAGAAAACCTTAAAAAAAATGCCTTATAAACATGCATAAAGTTAAATTTAAATTATTTTATATGAGAGTGGACAAATCACAAGTTGGTTCAAAACGTGGCAGCAGATGATCCCACACTGTATCAGTACGAATTACAGGTAAGTTTTTCTTCATTCTATAGTGGAATTGAATCATATCAGATTGAATATTTAAAAAAACCCGACCCCGATAAAATACTAGAATGTTGTCTAATGTATTAAGATTATTATCATTATCACTCATGATCACTGGACAAGAGATTTCGTGGCTATCAACTCGTTAGTCGGCGAGTAGGATTTCTGGATTTGAGGATTTATGGTGGTTTTGAATGTTTTACGAAATTCGGGTTACTTGGACATAAGGAATAGTTAGGTCTGGTGGATTTTTTTGAGGGCACAAAATGGAGCATCGTGGATTTTTCGTAGGAGTATGGATTAGGCAGTTTGGCCGCGGCGGATATGAATCCCCAACTTCCACTACGTCCACATGGTCTTCACTACGGTGATTGTAAAGCAAAGTTTTTTATTTGAAAAAAGTCGTCAGAGCCAACGCGAATAGGATGTGTAGAGGTATATTCGCGATGGTGGAAGTATGCCAGCTTCTTCCCCTTTTCCATAATCCTAAATCGCCAAACAACAATAATTTTTTTTAAGTTCGGCGTTCCCATTGTTGACTGTGAATTTATTTGCTTTATTTTAATACAGGTAATAAACTTAATAGTAAAATGAGTATGTGCATTGCTTATGGTTGAAACACAGAGAAAAAACATTTATCAGTGGAAAAATAACATTTCACCAGTAAGCTTATAAGATATTGCATTTTAGGGCTGAAACAAAGTTCACTTTTTTACTTGCTGTGTTTGCTTTTCGCCTGATTATTCTACATCCATTTAATTTATAGAAGGATTCATTGATTTAAATTTTTTATTCTGTAAATTGTGTAACGTAATGCTAAGACTCTCATCCTAAACAGTTTTTTACTATCAAGAAGAATTTATTATATTGTACGTATAACAATAGATTTTGTTTTCTTTTAACGAATAACTATAAACAATAAATCATGTGCTATCTTCAAAGCAGTTTATTTCTTGAAACTTGAATTTAGAAAAAATTTTTTTTTCATATTTTTAACTTTTTTGAACAAAGCAGATACAATATATAAAATATGGCTTGAAACATACAGTGAAGACAAACACCCAGCGGCGTTCCTCACTTAATATTATAAACAAATTTTATAACAATAGAAAATAATTTTTTTATTAAAAAACATAAAAATGGTAACATAGCACATGGTTATGGTAAATTAGAACTGACAAAGACTAAAAAAGAAATAAGGAATTTATAATATAAACAAAAAAGATTTGTTAACAAGAAAGCAGCAAATTGCAAAAAAAATGGTTCGATGTGTTCCGAATATTATCAGTTTTAAAACGTTTGAATTGAAACTTTGAATCAAGAAAAAAATAAAATATGCCAAAAATTAATTTAAATTATTCAGTGTGGTGATTAGTGACCGTTAATCGATAATTATTCAGAAATCGTGAGATGCGGTCTGGTGTGATGTAGGTTTCAGAAAAACATTTTCTTATCGTGCCAACGTTTCGATCTTTATTGAGATCATCTTCAGGGCTCAAAGTGTTTGTTTTCTGTGTAATTGTGCCATCCTTGCGTGTCGTGGGGCATTCTCAACACGACACGCAAGAATGGCACAATTACACAGAAGACAAACACTTTGAGCCCTGAAGATGATCTCAATAAAGATCGAAACGTTGGCACGAAAAGAAAATGTTTTTCTGAAACCTACATCACACCAGACCGCATCTCACGATTTCTGAATAATTAAATTATTCATTATAAAGATCATTAAAGATCATTTTTCCCATTGTGCTTAGTCCTTTCCTACCAAAGTCTTTACTAACATTTATAGTAAAAAGGAAATTTATATTTAATTTGTATTCATATTATTTATATATCACAGTAATAACCTGTAATTATAATAACCTGTAAGAAATAGCCTGAGGCAGCCTAATTTATAGATAAAAACAACGCAAATATTTGTAAAAAAATAATATCATTGGTCGTAATAATTTATTTTTATTAATAACGAATTTGCAGTTGTTTAAAAAAATAATAATACGAAATGTCCATTTGTGACCTGTTGTACAGTCAAAGCTTCGCAGTTGGAAAGAGGATACTATTGAAGTATACAGTTGGAAGAATATTTTTGCAGAGAGTAAGGGTTAGCAGTAGTGTGAGGTGTTGACGGTTTCAATAGAAACAGCAGGATCAGTTAGTTGAATGGATCCCTGGAACGTCTGGACAGGTCAGGGTGGTGGTTGTAGGGATGTCAGCTATGTACATCTGGTCAAGGGCCAGAACGTTACTCTGAGGAACACCATCATGGTAAATTTGAGGAGGATAAACCGCCTTCAATGACTCGGAAAATCTGGTCAGTGTATCTATATAGTGGCACTATGAAGTATGGGATAGTAGATAGGAAAAATGCGAGTGGCACATTTGATCAAAAGCTTGGCTTACTTTAAGAAAGGCCCATTATGGACCCAACGCAGGGAAGAAATAATTTTATTAGGTTTCGTGGTCCGCTTGACCAAATAAATTTGAAAAATGGCAAAAAGGAAGAAAAATTCAAAAGGTGGGGTTGAGATAGTATGTTAGTGTCCAGAGTGTCACAAGTGGATCGAAGTCACGATTGCTCAAGTGGTAGAGCAGCGGCGTATTTAGCCGAAGGTCGTGGGTTCGAATCCCGCTTGTGCCATTAACTTTTTTTTTCATCTCAACTAAAAACCTTAATTAATTGTAATGTATTAATTGGTCAAGCGGACCACGAAATTAGTGAATTTTAAAAAAGAGCTAAGCTCCAGACCCCTTCAAAAAAGTCGGCCTATCAATGTAATAGGCCCACTGTGGCCAAGTCCGTTCATTTTTAGTTCAAGAAAAGATTAGAAATACATACTGGATTAAAGATTATATTAAAGAGTTTATTTTTTTTTGTAATTTATATCTTTCTTCTTGTATTTTTCTCTTTTCATCTTGGTCTAAATTCTGTCAGACGTCTCATACCAATGAAAAAACAATTGGCCATGCTTTTTCGTCGTACAACTTATTTTTGAAGTAGTTGATAATGTGAAATGTAGTCAAATGTAATTTTTCCATTTGTTTGTGTTTCCACTTCTCAGCTATGTTTAGAAAACATAACTGAAGTTGAAACAGAAATTAAACG